TTTTTGCCCTCATTGTCGCCCTTTCTTCCTATGCCGTGCGGCTTCGACCCCATAGACTTGTTCCTGAAGTCCTCTCGGGCATGCCTCGCCGCCTCGTAGTTTTCTCCTGCCTCCGTCATCGCCACCTGATCCGCCCCCACCAGTTCGAGCTGCCTCGAGACGGTGAAATGTCCGCCTTTGAGCGTCGACTCAAGTGATTTGGCCCTCTGGACCAGGACATCCAGCGCTGCAGCTACTTTTCTCCTCAGTAGTAGATCGCTCACTTGTGCCACTGTATTGATCTCTTGCCAGAGCACCGGCGATGCCAGCTGCTTCAGGTGTTGATGGGCATAGATGGCGAAGATCGGCCCCAATTGCTCCTTGGCGCTGCTAAATATGTCTCCTCTAGCGGTCAGGAGATGCTCTCTCATATTCTCAATCGCTTGAAGAGAAAGAGCTCCAGGAAACCTCTCATGAAGCCTCTTCACCTTTCTCGTCTCCTCAAACAGGGGTCCTTCCTCTTCACTCTCCTCCTCTTCGCTCGTGGAATCAGAGCTGCTATCATCTTCCCCCGAGCTATCCGACCGCTTTCTCTTCTTATCTCCCCTTTTCTTCATCTTGCGGGCTTTCCTCATCAACCGCCTGCGACGGCTGACGTTGGGGTCCAGGCAGGTGTGGGCGAAAATAGCCCGAGCGGTCTTCTGGCCTTTCTCAAGCACCTCCAGGCTCTCTTGGGAGGCGAGCTTGTCCTCCCATTCCTTTTCGCCGCGTCTCTCCTTCTTCTTTTTCTTCTTCTTCTCCTTCCCGGCCTTCTTCTCTTCCTCAACTTCCTCTGCTCCACCAGCGTCAGGTTTGGGAGGTTTCTCTCCTCCCCTCCCCTTGCCTCGCTCCTCTGCAAGCTTCCTCAACGAAGACAACTCATCAAGCTCCGCCACGGCCTTCTCGGACAAGTTCATCTGCCACTCCTTCGGGGCTACTGCACAATCCCAGTATCCCCGAGCGTGCAGCAGCGTCCTTCCAGTCTCCAACTGGGCACAACTGTCCTTGCATAGATGAACCGAAACCTTTCTGTCCTCACCACCGCCGAACGTCTCCATGATGCGCTCGCTCTGAGTACCTGTGATCACAAAATCCATGCGCCCATCTGCAGGATGCACGGCAACGACCCTTCCAGCCACCTTCACGGAAGCACTATAATAGGAAGCCCGGTCCAACTCAATGACATCCAGGTCTGCCAGCTTGTCCATCGTGAGGTCAGCCCAGGAATAAAGTCTCTCCACTGGGAGGGCCTCCTCCCCTTCAGCAGCAGGCCTTCGTCGAGGTCTCACCCGAGGAGCAGCAGCTGCCGGCCTTCGTAGTTTGGGAGCCATTGCTTCCCTTACCAATGACGTCGGCCGCCCCGGCCCTGATTCTTCCTATCTTGAAGCTCTTGCTTTGCACGTTTCGTAATCCCTTTGTTGGTCCCTTGTGTCCACCTCGGGTGACTGGAGTAGGGCACCGGGCCCCTCCAACCTTTACCTTGTGGCTTGCCTTTGCCTCCTCCTTTCGAACCTGATGACCTCTCTGGCGGGGGTCGCTCAGGCGTGTGAGGTGACCTGGGTCGCCTCTGAGTTGGCCTTGGCCTCAAATAGGGTTCTCTCTCAATCGCGGGATCCTTTGCTGTGATCTCCTCCTTCTCTCTCTTTTCCTTTTGGGAGCCTGTCGTCTCCCTTTTCTGCCTGCGGACTTCTGAGCCGCTTACCTCTCCTGATCTCGAATCTCTCCTTCTTCGCCTCTTCTTTTCTTTCTCTTGCCTTCGCTTGGGCGATCTGGACCTCTTTGAACCTTCTTTCTCCTCCTCTTTCCTCCTTGGCAATGGTTTTCTCTCTTCTGTGGCTCTGGGAGGTGTTGCAACTCCCTTTGTACTCTCCTCCTTCTCCTCTTTCAACTGTAAATACGGGGACACCCCCTTCTCCTCAACTGTAGTGCTCGCGCTCGGCTTGGCCTCCTTTGGCTTGCTCTCTACTGTCTCCTCCTTCGCCTCGGCTGGTGGCTTGGGAGACGCCTCTCCCTTTTGTCCTTCCTCTCCCGGAAGATCGCTGGGAGCCGCTTCTCCCCTCTCAGGGCTATCCTCCTCCGGCAGGAGCCTCCCGATGGAGTAGAAAGCTCCGTCCAAGATCTTGGTGACCTTGAACTGCGCCTCCTGAGTCGGCGGCAGGCGCGGGCCGGTCGCGGCGGCCACCAGTCGATGTGCAGAAACGCACACCGAGCAATTACCTGCCAGAAGTGACCACTTCCGACAGGTAGCACAAATGGGCATCCCCTTCGAGCCCAATGCTACGGTGAAAATGCATATGGTGTTGTGTTTACTCATGTGGACATACGAACATCCCAGACACGACCAGTCTGGCACTGGCATATGAAAGCCTACATTGAACCATTTTTCAACCACCCCAACTGATTGGGTTTCATATGCCAGTCCCAGATGGCGGTCGCGTCTGGGTATTGTTTCAAATCCCAACCTCCCAGGCCCGATTTGGATGACGACGGGCCGACAGTTGCATTCCATCTCAACAATAGTGACTGGCAACAGGATATACCCAACCTAGATCTGGGGCGCAGCGTGTCAAAACCTTGCTGTTGGTTGTCGATATGTTGTCTCAAATCATCTAAAAACATCATCTCTAACTAAACATCAGGTGTTTCGTTGGTGAGGACGGTGAGGACCTCCAAATTCCAAGTATGACATGGATCCCACCGGGACCTTAGAAAGGGGTAAGAGACTGAGAAAGAGATAGAAGGGGGGGTCACTTAACCTACTTCCTACCTTCCTAGTGAAGTCCGGGCAGAAGCATCGGTCCTGTGACAAGTAGACTTCTCCAGCATACATGGAAGTGGATCACCTCGTGTTTGCAGAAGAACTTTGTTTATTAAAAATAAAAAACATATCGTTCTATAGGTGTAAGATGTGTTCATGCCACACACTTCTGTTGCAGGGCAGCTTTGTTGAGGCCACGTCATTCAGGCACGAGAACCACAGCGACATGGGCCAGCTATACCCAAGATGAGGAGCAATCGCTTTATTTCGATAACAGGAGAACACGAACCGTCACAAAAGACCCTCGACCTGTACCGATCTTTACCTCATGGAGTCATGTCTTAACCTGACCTTTGACCAGTAAAAATGCGGTCCAACTGACCTGGAGGGTAAGGGTTGACTGGTACCGAACGGCCAACCGGTCAACCCTGGCGCGCCCTTCCGGCGAACGGCCAACCCGGGCGGTGTCGCCGCGAAGGAAACGATCTCCCATTCGATCGCCGCCCCTGCTGCCCAGCGTCGTTCCGCACTGGTTGCCTGCGGAGACCGAGGTACCCCGTGCCCCTCTGTCGTGCATGTGTTGATGGTCAATTGGACTGACATGGGCAAACATCGGTCTGACGTGGGTCGGTCTGGTGGGAAGGGACGCCGGGATGCCATCTACTCTGAAACCACTTTAAGATACTGTAAGTGAATCCTTTGCGTCGATTGTCCATGGAAGATCGTGCGAGCTGGAGAGGTAACCTCATCATGCACTGCGAACTGGAAACGCAACGGTTCCGGTCAGTGGCACATCTCAATCCGAACCAGAAAACCAAAACACTATCTTTTTTGGAGGTCAATAGCATGATCAATAGATTTGCATCCTGAAGATCTTCATGCCTTGCCCCCCAAAAAATAGAGCATCTCGTGTTTGAGAGGCGCAAAGTCCCCGTGAGCCAACGAGGGATTGTCACAATCAGCATCCTGCAGCGCCGTGACCGGCAAGCCCAAGAGGTCTTTGCTTGATCTCAGCGATGAGAAGAAATCCGCGGTCTACACTGTACAGCGCTCGAAAGAATGGACAAGTAATATAAATATATATAATATATTCATCCTTGTCCTTCACTCAAATAAATCGTACCAATGAGTAATGGACCACAACCTTTGGATTGTAGAACCATCTTGGGGATGATCATGCTCTGTCCTCGCCTCAAGGAATCGGTGTGGAGGGCACATACCTTCTCAGGGAGAAGGTACGACTGGACCCAGGCGCCTACATAAACAGTCGATGGTTCGGTATGTGGATCCATCGAGTTTCTCCAAGCATCATACAGCCGAGATCAGCCTAGCAGTCAGCTCCTCAACCGGTCCACCGGCCAGCCCCCCCCCATCGCCTCGGCCATCGGCGCAGTTGCTTTGCTGGCTCTTGATCTGCGTCTCCTGAAGCGCGTTGGTGGCGTTTGGGGCGATCCGCAAACGATCCGCGTGCCACAGGTGGTTTCTGTGGCTTTTCTTGGTCCTGGAAGCAATCGATCTTTGATGGAGAGCGAAAAAGCACCGCACGTTTGCAGAAATCCTCTCTTGAAGAACCAAATAGATCTTCGCGAGTCACCATCCTATGGCTATGGGCCTTCTTGGAGAACTCACAGGACATTTATTGTCTTTTTGAAACACCATTTGAAGCCTGTCACAGTGTCATACAAGACTGAAAACGTGTGGGAAAAAGAATCAAAGCATGGCAATAAACTCACTGAATGATCGCCGCAATTAAGGCCTCCAGATCTGCTCAAGGTCAGCTAGTTGTGAGCTAGGACAGCATTAGGACTGCTGCTTCATGTAGGAAAACATGTTTCTCTGACGACACACTTAGGGGTGTCCATATCTGGCTTGGAACTGCTAGGATGTTCTTGAGGTGGCGCGTTGGTTGGCGGAAAGCGTTGGTTGGCAAGAACATGGCAATCTCAGTTGGTTCGACCCATTAGACAGACCGAGCACCCGTCACCGGTGGAAGTCACTGTAGACCGATGTCACGTGTTCACGACACCTGCTTGCAGCCCCATGCCTGACTTGCAAAAGGCTTCATTGCTCTCATCCTTCCACCCCCAAGGAAGTGTCGATCTGTTTTGCCACTCACCACAAGTTGATGGAGCTACAACAATATCAACCAATCAGTTTGCCTATGTTTGCCTATAGTTTTCCTCATTCTAACTGAACTTACCACCCTACTACAAGTGGGTAGTACTTCTCAAGCCGCCTCTTGGGGTCCCAGTGACTTCCATCCACAGGACGACTGCAATGCTTCGCTACCCAAGGAATGTTGGAACCAGGGGTCGGTCTGCAGTTGTTTGGAACCGGTCGCCCATGAATGATCCTGTTACTCCCAATGCATTCATGGGACTGGAATGGAATACAATGCCTAGACTGACCCAACGTAGATACCGTTAGATACCTAAATCTTCCAACGGTACAACAATTTACTGTATGCAGAACTGGGCGGATTCTTTGATTGAAAAGGCAACCAACATGATGCACAGTTGGAAGATCCAGCTCTCTATAGAGCGCAGGCGGGCGTCGCACGCCCTTCTCCCGCCCCGAACCCCACCCCAACCCGCCACGCCGTTCCCCGCGTTCGGTCTCCGCGTCGGTGGAATCGGTGAAGGCCGGATCAGCGCCTCGGCGAGTCGAACGCCACATCGACGCAGGGCAAGGCTGCATGGAGGTTCGAGACTGAAAGGGGATTAGACAACCATAGACCACCTGGTGACCTGCGTAGCACCGCTATACTCACCACTATATATAACTACATGATGGTCTCTTTTAGGCAAACTGTGAGATAGACCTTTCGTGTTGGGCCACATGGCCATCTAGAAACAGACTCGCACTCCTGTGCGTCCTGTCGACTCCGTTTTTTTCGACTCCGTCCACCTCTCCGGACATGTCACGAAGTCAGCCGGGGTAGACTCTGGGGGGAGAGATGTGAACCGAACTTGCCACACTCTTCTTATTGAAAGAACGCTTGCCCTTTTTTCTTTTCCCCAAAGCACGAGAACCTCGCGTCACCCGTTCACTTCCACTCCGCGTCACCGAAATAGCAGCCGTTGAACTCCTCCGCTTCACCGAACGTCTCGCCGATCGGGCGCATCGCGCTTCGACTTGGCGATCCCCACTCCAGGCAGCACACCACACCATCGCACCTTTGGCTCGAGCCGGGCCGAGCCGACGCCGCGGATGGGGGACGCGAAGGACAGCGCGACCGCGGACTGAGCTCACTTGTATGGTTAGGTAACCAGGTTCCATTTGTATCGAACTTGGATGAGCCGTTTTGAGCTCCGAAGGGTCGAGCACCTTCGTTGCGGTTTCCGTGAGACTACCGTGTTTCACGGAGGTACGAAGGAGCCACTAGCCTAGGGCAGTTGATAGCAACAACTGGCTGCGACTGGACCTGTCGGGGACCAAGGTTGGAGCTGTCCTTTGGTCGCTGGAGTCCAAGCGAAAAAAAGGGGGCATGTGTCAGAACTGGACGTGGTGTGGAGGTTCTTTTGCTGAAATGTCAGGTGGGCCAAAGCAGGTGATTGGAAAGGTCCGTTGGTGCGGCCGGTACACCTTTCAAATCAATCAGATATGTAATTTGTTTTGCAATGAACAGATTGGGATCAACCGTCATGCAGCTGTATGCAGCTACTCATGCAGCCGTATGACTTCGTGGCCCAACATCAAGAGCTGGCTCAACATCGTCATCTGCTCGCCAAGTTCCATCGGAATTTGACGCATATCAACATATATCAACTAGGGCTCCAAAGCAAAGTTGGAAAATCTATAGGCATCCACTACATGGACTTCCATTGGAGTGTCCCAAAATGACTGGCCAGCCCAAATAGCCCAAAGAGTGTGAATCTTCCCAGCCTTCATCCACTTGAAGTGTCACCAAGATCTTGTCTCTTGCGATGGACTCCGCCGCCACGAACCTCGATCGCGAGAACTGGATGGCGGGACCGCACCGACAACTGTGCGGTCCATTTTGCCACCCAAAGAAAGCAAGGAGTAGGGGGGGGGCCAAAGACAAATTTTGTCTATGGTTTTTCTTTGTACTGGCAGTTTTGATCCAATAAAGCTATACAAATATTACCGCTTTGCTCCCAAATTCAGATGGGGTGGGTGTAGGTCGGGATACTTCGGCTTTTAGGGCAAAGAACCAATTCAAAACGATCTCGGGTAGTTCAGATCCCTATCCCGATGTACCATGTACCCTCGAAAGTGCCGACATGAAAGTAGGACATGACTTATCCTATCAAAACAAGCACCAGCAGCTTCCAAAGGAACCGATTTTAGTCCCTTTACCAACAGGGGTTGTATATAAGTGACCTTATTGGATCTTATAGGACCCTACCAGGGTACCTATGAGATAGCCTATAGTTCTTCAAGCTCTGTTGGTATCCGGGGAGTCGATGTGACGTGGGGCAACTCCTACCTCCATGGATCGCACCGCTATCCTCCAACTTTCCATCTGGACAACCCCATCCAAGCGCGGCACGCGCGTACGCCGAAAGCGGCAAACACACTGGTGGTGTTGGCCAAAAAGAGGACGAAATTGGCAAGAGAAGGAGAGACCAAATGAATTAGATGACACAGATTCTAAAAACCAAAGGCCCAACGTAGACAGATGCGGTTCATATTTAGTGGGGTGTCTCCACCCAAATCACTGGATAGGAAAGTCACATCACTGGTTCTGACTTTAGCTCCTAGGTGAGAGAAAAAACACCGCTCCGCACCTCATCTTGGGCACGGTGTAGTCCTTGGTGCGGATGGTATCCTTGGTCAGCACTACCTGAGCCATGCGCCACTCGCAAACACACATGCAAACACCAGCAGGGGTAACACAGGTGGAGCTTGCGATGCGCTGGAACTGTGAAGTTGTAGAGTCCAACAACTGGATATAGAGGCTGCAGAGTTGCATATCGAACGATCGGATCTCGACGAAAACCTTGTTGCAAACGCGTCAGTGCTGCAAACAGCCCAACATTTCGTTTTACTTGTAGTAGTCCCCAAATAGATAGAGACGGTGTCCAATACATTATTGGTGGGGATCTACTTGTCTATCTATTTGGGGGTCTATAAAAAGAACCCAAACATCTCGCCCAACAACTCCCTTTCTAGCTCTTTTAAAGGGTGGCAAGCTTTGAGATGTTCTGCACTGAGCAGTGGAGCAGCGTGCTGAGCAGTGGAGGCTTCCTCTTGTGCTCTTGAACTGGAGGCAAGGTCCCGTGGCACCAGCGTGGTTGTTGAGCAACTTCAAGCATGTCCCAAACGCAGGGGTCACATGGAGTTGGGTGGTGTGGCTTTAGTCCCCTTACGTGAGTGGATGTGACAGGGGCACCCCGACTACCTCCATGGATAGCACCCCGACATGTGACCCCCTGGTTCTTTCATCTTCGTTGCCACACCGGCGACTTTCCCTATAGCCGGAATGGCCCACCGGTCCACAATGTGACAGTCATGACTCCTGTGTGATACTCATGTGGTAACCATACTTAGCACGGATTTGCGTGAAAACTTCACCCAAATCCAAAGGTCTTGCAAGTCGTCTCTCGTGATAGTACCCAATGCTCCCTCCAATCCATTCCAATCCATATTCCTCACACAACGACTTAGTCCCTCCACCAGTCTAGAAGAAAACCCTGCTGCTCTGGTCAGCATCCCGAATGGGAAACAAACCATGGAACAGATTTTTGTGTTCACCTAAACGCAGTGGATTGGGATGAACTTCATGATCACCTTGATTTCTGGCAACAACTCCCCAAATTGCTACAAACATCCACCTTTTGGGCTTCAAATCCAAAAAAGACTCGACCCCAAAAGAGCTCCTCTTTCTCCTCCACTTCCACCTCCTCCTCCTCCTCCGCCCAGTCAGCCCCCTGCCGTGCTGAAGGTCACGCCATTGGTCACCTGGCGGATCCGAGCGTCGACGTGTCCGGTCCCAGGTCCATCTAAACTCCTTTTTAACGCACCTTTTTATGTCCTGCGTCGGCGACTTGCGGAGCGCATGGCGAACCAAGCGGTACACCGCGCAAGGCGGAATGGAGTCTTCCGCAGCATTTGGAATGCCTCCGAACTGTGCGGCACGACGAATGGCTCGCAAGCCGTCAAAGCTTTGCATGAAGCTGCGAACATGCGTGTCGACCTCCGGTGCCAGTCGCAACCTAATGCATCCGGTCCCTGCTATATAGGCCGCATTGGAGCCCAAAGCATCCGCGATTGAAAAAATTCAATAGAACGATTGATTTTTTGACAAAATCAATCTTCGATTGAAGATTGATTTTTGGGAACCATTTTCAATAGAAATGTCTCTAAACAAAAACCTATTTCGATTGAAAAACAAAGACCAAAACGATTGAATTTTCAACAGAGGTTTTTCAAGGCTGGACAGCCTCCACTGTAGGTCTTTTATGGGCTGGACAGCCCCAAGTGTTTCCCAAATGGGCTGGACAGCCCCAAGTGTCCAAATGGGCTGGACAATGCATGCACTCAACATCTGCAGCTGCGCAAGATGCCAAAACAAGGTGGTAGAGGTGGCCCCAGAAGGAACAAAGTTCCTGACATTGATGTGGAGCATTTGTTAGACATTCTCAATGGCTATGTCAGGAAAGTGGCTGTGAAACATGCTTTCTGCTTTGGCAAGTACCACAACCTGACCAGGGAGCAGGCAGTGGTTGCCTCCAGCCTGTGTGACATGGAGGATTTGGTGGCTGACTTGCACAAGGTCAGCCACAGCCTTGAGTTCAAGTACAGTGATCTGAAGACTGGCCTCAAAGAGACCCTCAAGCAGTATCCTGGCATTGTGGAGAGGTTCCCAGTGGAAGAGCAATCAGATCTGAGCAGCAAGCTCTCTGAAAGCATCCTTGTCATTTGCAATCATTGCAGGAGGTTGTCCAGGCAGCCTTCAAAGTTCCAAGAAGCTTGCAGCAAGGCCTCTGACTTCCAGGTGGGCAAGCTTGAGAGAATGAAGACATTACTTGTCCCTGAACCACCTGATCCCAAGTCACCAGGTCTGCCTGTGAAGGCATCAAAGAAGGCCAAGAAAACACCAGCTTCTCCCAAGTGTGGCTCACCAACTTCTGTGAAAACAGAAGACTTGTTGAACATGGACATTCCTGCCACACAGTCCTCATTGGGTGGCAGCCTGCTCGATGAAGCCATGGGGACTGAACCCATTCCTGTGAGGAAAGCTGTTCTTAGAGAAGCCATTGCCCAGAAGAAGCCAGCAGCAAAAAGGCCTGCAGCAAGTGCAGAGGCAGTACCATCTGAAAAAAAGAATAGCAAAGGCAATGGCACCAAAAAGCCACAGGTTGCAGATGATGCTTGCTTTGTAGACCACAAGCTCAAACTGATGCCCTACAACCAGACTGGTGCTATGGCAATTCGCATAGACAAGGGCCCCCAGCTGATCCAGATCAAAAGCAAGCAGGGTGCCAAGCAGTCCAAGGCCTTGGCTGAAAAGCTTCTGGCTGAATTGAAGAATGGCATGTCGCTGGGGGATGCCAAGGCTTGGAAAGCTGCAAGGCTGGCAAAGGAAAAGTAGCTGGAAGGCTACATGGCTTGATTTGATGCTTGGCAGGGCTATATGCAGCCCATAAGACCATGCATGCAAGCTGGCTGGACAGCCTAACAAGTGAGTGGCTTTGAAAAGAAAACAAGCACACAGGACATTGGGCTGGACAGCCTTTGCTTTTGTCTTTCTGCAGTGGGCTGGACAGCCCTGTTTGGAATGGTTTCTGGTAGTGGGCTGGACAGCCCTGTTTTGCAAGCAGTCTTGGGCTGGACAGCCCTTTTGGAAGCATTTTGGGTAGTGGGCTGGACAGCCCAAGTAAAACTTGGGTGGTGGGCTGGAAAGCCCAACAGGTTGGGCAGCAGAACTGTTTTGCAATGCTTGTCTTCAGTAGAGCTCAAGCTGAAGTGGAAAGCTCTTGCCCTGAGAAGGGCTGACTCGATCTGCCAGCAATGGATGGTGGTAATAAAGCCAAAGCTGCTGGAGGACAACCAGCTGCAAAGGGGGGAAAGGGCAAGCCAGCCCCAGCTCCAGACCCATATGGGAAGGGGCCACCCACCCACCAAGGAGCTGGTGGTGGTGGCAGCAGTGTCTGGAGGGACAACCTCAGGTGCATGTGGCAATCTTACAACCCTGAGATGCCCTTTAATGTTTGGCAGCACAACCTGGTCGTTTACAGCCAGCAGGTGACTGACTTGGTGTTGGGCAAGCATGAGTCGCACAGGCAGTTCTTTGCCAGGTTGAAGGACAAGGTGGACCCAGGACAAGTGTCTCTGCTTTTGGGGCTGGACAGCCTCCCTTTAGTGTTCTTGTTTTTTGCAGGCTGGACAGCCTGGCTGGGCAGTTGTGTTTTTTCTAGCAGGCTGGACAGCCTTTTGTTCTTGCACAGGCTGGACAGCCTTTTGTTCTTGCACAGCACAGGCTGGACAGCCTTTTTTCCTTTTGTTCACTTACAAAGCTGGAAAGTCTCACTCAGCAGGAAGTGACTGGCTGAACTTCATGGAGGCCTTGGTGGAGAGAATGAATGAGGCCCTGCTGAACCAGCAGAGGCAGCAGCACCAGCAACAGCAAGAAGCGCTGCTGCAGCAAATGCAGGCAGTACACTGGCCACTCCAGCAGCCTGCAGCAATGCAGCCACCAATGGGTCCACCACTGGTGATTGGTGCACCTGCCACAGCCATGTGGCAAGACCAGCAGGCTGGCCAGTTCTCCTGCGCTTGGCAAGAACCACCAACACCAGGAGGAGCAAGCAAGGCAGCAGGAGGACCACCACCCTTCCTGGTACCAACCCAGGCTGGCCAGCCTCCTGCAGACCCAGCACCCAGCCATACTCAGGCTGCACCTCCACCAGAGCCAAAAGCAGCCCCTCCACCAGAGCCAAAAGGAGCCCAGCCTGACCAGCCTCCACTACAGGCTGAGCAGCCTGCCCAGGCTGAGGGGCCTCCACCGACCCAGGCTGGGCAGCCTGCAGAAAAGCCAGAGCCAATGCCAGCCACACCAGCAGAAACACCCAGTCAGGCTGACAAGGCTCAAGCACCATGGAAGACTGCCGCAGCAACAAGCGCTACCTCCTCAGGCTTGAATGTGGCAGAGGCTGCCATGGCTGCAGAGCCACCAGATGAAGAAATGGTTGAGGAAGACTGGAGTAAGAGCCAGTGGTGGGGCTGGTGGACAAGTGGGTATGGCTGGCATGGCAGCTGGAAGCAGGATGATGACAAGCAGGAACAGGGTTGTGATGAAAACCACCCCCAACACACTTCTCAGCCTCCTCAACAGGAGGCTGCAGAGCCTGTTGGCCCTCAGGGGGCTGCAACACCTGAGGTTACTGAAGCTGGTGGGGTACTTCTTGCAAGGGAAATGGAAAAGATTTTTGGCAAAAGTACATGTGGAACTTCTTACTTCTTATTCTTAAAAACACCATTCATGGTTTTGTTTTCAGGCTGGACAGCCTCTAACAACTTTCGAGTGTGTTGCCCAGGACTGACTTCTGGGATGTAGACCACCCCAGCAACTGGTTCAGCAAGTGCAGAGCATGCACCCGCTACTCATATGTCGCCAAGAAGAGCAGGGTTAGAAAACCCAGTTGCAGAGGGTGCATGAGGTCTTCATGCAGCAGCTTCAGGGGTGGTGAAGCTGTGGATGGCCTGCAGGAAGCTGTGGACTTGTATGACACTGAAGTGTTAGAGTTTTAGGCTGGACAGCCTTTTTGGTACAGGCTGGATAGCCTTTTTCAATAGCCATGGGGGGGCCTTCTGTTGAACTCAAAGCAGAAACTAGATATGTTTGTGTGATCTGTGGGCCCCCCTCTTGGTAACCTGACTTGGCAAGCTTGGATGCAAAAAAAAAGTAGGGGGTGGGCTGGACAGCTCATGGGAGGTGGGCTGGGCAGCCCCTGGGGGTGGGCTAGACAGCCCATGAGTGGGCTGGACAGTGTAAATGGGTGGGCTGGACAGCCCAAAAGAGTGGGCTGGACAGCCTAAAAGAGTGGGCTGGACAGCCCAAAAAAGCAGAAAGTAACAAACAGTAATATGAAGTAATAAACAGTAAAGAAAAGTAATAAGAAGTAATAAACAGTAATAAACAGTAATAGACAGTAATAAACAGTAATAAAAGTAATAAACAGTAATAAAAAGTAATAAGCAGTAATAAAAAGTAAAGAAAAGTAATATGAAGTAATACATTTTCAGGCAAACCTTTGCCAACATATTGATTTTCTTGAGCAAATTTTTCCACCAGGTTCAAGACTAGGGCACCCCATACTGAGTAGCCAGCTGCCACCATGGGCATGAAGAGGCCTGCAGCTGCACCAGCCAGTGTCAACAAGAAACCAGCCACAGCTGACACAAAGGGAAAGCCAAAAACCACTGGCCAAGCAGTGGAAGCCAGTGAGGATAGCCTAACAGAGGCACAGGTCAAGAGGCATGAACAAATTGAATGTCTGATGGCTGAGATGGAGGGAATGGATGAAGGCAACATGAAAAAAAAGCTTGCTGGGCTAGACAACCTCTCCATGATGTCCTTGTGGAAGAGGTTCAAGATGAACAGGGACATGGAAGGTGAAGACCAGAAGTATGCCCAGAGCACAAGTGGGCCTGGCAGCAATGCCAAAAAGCAAATGCTGCTCAGGGCCTGGCTGAAAGATGGTGGTCAGCTGCAAAAACACTACAGGCAGGCAGTGACAGCCTTTGAGCTGAAAAATGTGTCCAAACAAGGGTACAAGTGGAGGTCTTGGAAGAAGACCTGTGATGACTTGGGTAAAGACCAAGCACTGGGCATGCTGAAAAGGGGCACCCTCAAATGGAGAAAGAACCCCCTAGATCCAAAGTACATGGAGTTTGCTGTGCATTCTGAAGAATACAAGCAGGAAGCTACCAAGACCAGGGGCACTCGACTGAAGGCT